GAAATGAGCGTAGTGAGAGTTCGTGTATGATTTTTGGCCGCAGGGCTTTTTCTTTCCATGTGAGGTAGCTGGAATTTATAAAGTCTGCTTGCACATGTGAATTAAGAGTGGTTTAACTACCCCCATCATCCTTTGTCTGGGCACCATTCTTGGCAATGGGGCACCAAGGTCGTAAACTGGCTCACTCTCTCCAGCCATCTAGCTAAAAACAAAGCAGGTACCACAGCTTAAAATAGTGTAAGACTAGTGTCAACGCAGGGCACTTGGTCTTAGTGGAAACATTTAAAACAAAACAAAACAAAAGCTGGGTCTTAAGTGAGGAGGTTTGGAATTTAGAACCTTGAACCCCATGATTGTCATGTGACCATTTGAAATGTTGGCTTCTAATTGCCCCTCCCTCTTTGAACTGCCTGTATCTGAGAGACTATGGCCCACCAAGGAATGGGGGGCTGTGGTGACAGAATGAATTCTGTTTTGCCTATAGCCTGAGGTTGCTGAAGACTTGGGAGTTGAAGGTTCTGAGCAGAATAGGGTCCTTGGGAGGCTGAAAGAATGACCTCTTAGGTCTAGCCATAATCAGTGAGGGGTCAGTGGCATGTGTGGAAGGGGCCAGGTCTTCTTTCAGGAGGAGTGAGGGGCTGTGGCAGGCAGAAGGAGCAGTAGGAAGAGAGGCCCTGCAACCCCCTCCTGCAGATCCTTGAAGATCTTTTTCCTGGAACAATCATGAAGGTCATGCCCCAGCACTAGTGAAGGGTCCAGCACCCCCAGCAAGGCCTTCTCTGTTTGCCAGCCCTGCCCATGCCTTCTTTAGCTGTCCTGGAAGTGGTGTATTTTTATTGTCACTGTTGATAGTCTGGGGAGGTGTCTAGCCTGCAGGTGTCCCAAATATCCAGGAACTTGCTTGCCCTTCCTAGGAGGAATCCTGGGCTATTTTAGATCTCTAGTTGGTGCTAAGAGTGATTTTTAAAATAATGAAATGTGGTAATTTGCCCCCTTCCCCCAGGTTCCTCACCAGAGGCCTCCACTCACTCCTGATCAACTCCATCAACTGCCAACTGAGAATGCAAATGTGGGCTGTTTCCTAGGGTGTCACTTTACCCAGAAGTAGGCCCACAGCCTCCTCCCCTCAGGTATGGACTGAAGAGGAAGTATGGATTTTTCTTTTGAGGTGAAATAATGGAATTGTGGTTCTGTTTTGTTTTTTGAAGGCCTTTTAGAAATACACGCTGAAATACAGACGATGTAATGCCTGGAATTTACTTCAAAATAATGTGGGGAGGGAGCGGGAGGTTGAGATGAAGCAGTATTGGCCATGAGTTATTAGTTGTTGAAGCTAGGTGACAGGCCCATGAAAGTTTATTAGATAATTCTGTCTACTTTTGTTTATGTTTAGCAGTTTCTATAAGCTTAAAAGAAAGTGGGAATGCATTCGCAGGTGAATATACACGGCCTTTGGGGTCCAACCAAATTGGGTTTCAGTTTTAGCTTTAACACTCTTATCTGTAATACCTTAGACAAGAAGGAGCCTTGTAAAATGGGGCCAATTGCATCTGCTACAAAGGTTAGTAGAGGAGTTTTTAATGAAATAATGTATGCACAAAAAGGGGCAGCATCTGACCTCTGACCTCACAAGGGGGAAAGAGGATCCAGAATAACATCAACAGCCCAAGGCTGATTCCTATGAGGCAGAGGTCAGACATGCCACTGTCTTCCAACCTCTGCACCAATTCTGACATCAACTATTCTTCCCGGTAGCACTCTCCACTTCTCTACTGGGTTCCCTAACTCGTTGCAGTGGCCACACAGAACTCACAGATAATACTCATAATCATGGGATTTATTAGGAAAGTCACTGGTTACAATTCAGGATCAGAAACCATTCAAGATACAGTTCTTCAATCAGGACAGCTGCCTTTCAGCTGTGTCACCCTGCTCTCTGGCCTTAGCCTCTCAGTCCTGCAGCCCCTTGGCCTCTGCTGTGATTGGGGAAGTATTAACCAAAGCTCTTTTAGCTCTGCAAATAGGTGCCTAGAGAGGCACCCCACTCTACCGCAAGCTTCCTGGCCAAAGGCACTCAGCTTTCTTGTTCCATGAGCTAGGAAACCCACTGCTCTGCCTCGTGCCTGTCTCTTGGTTCTGCTGCTGCCGTTTCTGTGCTGCTGCTGCTGCTGGTTTTCTCACTGCAAGAATCTCGGGTTCAAGGAGGGCTCCATTCTTGGCTCTTCTTTCTTGATGGTAGTGAGATTCCCCACCATCACCACTACCTTTTCTACCTCTGGGATGGCTCATTTTAAGCGTAGTGGTATGGTAAAACTGACCAATCCCCATGTTACCATTCCATATACCTTATTTGTGTGGTCGTTTCCCCACAAGGGTACATGTACCTTATTTACATCATTAGCAAGCTGTCCAATCCCCTTGGTGGGCACAAGCACCTCACATTTGCATAGTCCCACCTGGTCATCTGGGAGCTCTAGTAGCTTAGTGCCTAAGGCACTTGACTGGTAACCAGAAGACTGGCGATTCAAACCCACTAGCCACTCCTTGGAAGGAAGATGGGGCAGTCTACTTCCGTAGTGATACTGCCTTGGAAACCCAATGAGGGGTCGCTATGAGTCGAGCCTGACTCGATGGCAAATAACAACAACAACCTGGTCATCTGGTGGGAGACCCAAAGACCATAGCTAGAAGAGCCATATTAAGTAATTCACTGCACCACATTGTGTAAAGCACATAGCCTGATACCTGGCACCCAGTCAACACTAATAGCTCATGTTCTAGCTGAGTATCTACACCAGGCAACCTGTGGCTAGCTGCTGTCTCTGCTGAGGGGGAACTGATTGGGAGTGGGGAGGGGACAGCTAGGAGGGACTTGGGGGTCCACTTCCCAGATCTGGTAGACACATACCCTCTGCCTTTGATTTAACCACTGTTGGCACCACTTACAATTTTGGTTGATCTGGATCTTCCTTGACAGCAGTCTAGGGCTACAATCAGCAGTTTGTGATTTCTGCTGATATAATTAGGTGGCTAAAGCATTTATTTAGGAGCTCTGGTAGCATAGTGCCTAAGGTACTTGACTGCTGACCAGAAGGCTGGCAGTTCAAACCCACCAGCCACTTCTCGGAAGGAAGGTTGGGCAGTCCTACTTCCGTAGTGATACTGCCTCGGAAACCCAAGGAGGGGTCGCTTTGAGTCGGGGCCGACTCGACAGCAAATAACAACAACAACAAAGCATTTATTTAGTCATTTTTTTAAACTTTCTAATAAGGAGTCCTGATAGTGTAACAGAGGATTGGTGGTCTATACCCACCCAGCAACTCTACAGGAGGAAGACCTGGAGATCTCTTTCCTTAAAGGTTACAGCCTGGAAAACCCTCCAGGGCAGTTCTACTCTGCCCCACGGGGTTGCTATATGTCAAAATCAACTTGATGGCACCTAACAACAGTAACAGTAATGTCATTTTGAAATAATTAATAGATTCACAGGAAGTTGCAAAAAATGTACCAGGAGGCCCCATGTACACTTCACCCAGTTTCTTTCAATGACATCTTCAATTTAACTACAGTACAATAGCACAGCCAGTAAAATGACATTGGTACATTCCACGGAGCTTACTCAGATTTTACCAGTTTTACATGTACTATTTGACTGTGTTTAATTCTGTGCAGTTTTATCCCATGTATAAATTAATGTAACCACCACCATAATAAAGATACAAAACTATTCTGTCACCACCAAGGGACTCCCTTATGCAAAGCATTTATTTTTCAAAACAAATAGCCTTTTTTTTTTTAATGATTTTAAAAAGAAAGCAATTGTATGCAGAAGAATGTCTGGAAGTATGTCGGCCACAGTGTCACCTGTGATTGATTTTACTTTATCTTTTGCAGTTTTTCATATTATCTGATATTTGTTTTTACAATGAGCATATACAATTTAAACAAAAACAATAACACTATTTCTTTTTTTTTTTTCCCATCATTTGAAATCTATCACCCAGATATATCACTGTTGACATTTTGGCAAACATCTTTCCAGATACTTTTCTAGGTTGGTTCACCTGCCCTTCCCTCTGACTTTCTCTTTGTTCTCAGAAGATATTTTGTGAAGCGAACACCACTTTAACTGCCTCCTCTGGTACTTTGGTGTGAAAGTGTTCTGGGGTGAGGTTCTGACGCACTTGGCCTCTCAGACGCTCTTGAGAAGAGGAGCTTTTTGTGTGTGTGTGTGGTGTGTGTGTGTGTGTGTGTGTGTGTGATTTGGGTGAAAATTTATGGAGCAAATTCACTTTCCGTACAACAGTTCAATACACTTTGTCTCATGACATTGACTGCAATTTACTACAATGTAACAGTTCCCCTCCCACTTTCTCCCAATATTTACCTCTTCCCTGTGTCCATCCTTCCATGCACTCCTGCCCCTGAGCCGTCTCCTTGTACATAAACAGCCCTTCTTTCTCCCATGATTGGAGGAGTCTTGCTTATTCAGAGAAGACCTAGCCTAGAATCTGCTGCTTACCTTTCCACCTGATTTTGAAACCAAGCCTCCCCACTATCACCCCTCTATTTCCCTTTCAGTGTGGATTGGTCTCCAGTTCATGGATTTGGCTTTTTTCTGAAAAAGCATTCATGATTTGGATTCTCTGGCCTGCAGCTCTCTGCATGTAGGCAGGACTCTGTGTCTTTCCTGCTAGCAATTCTAATAATCACACTAACACTTATCACATGCTCTCCCTATGCCGGCTCGTGCCAAGCATTTTACATGCATTATTTCCTTGGAATAACCCATGAGTTGGGTGTTATCATCATCCTCATTTCTCAAACAAGGAGAATGAGGCTTAGAAGAGGTTAAATACCTTTCTTGGGTCACTGGCTGTTATGTGGCAAAACTGGAACTTGAGACCAAAGTCTGTGCATTTAACCACTAACCTATCCTGCCCCCTACCAGCAATAGCTGCCATTAATCCAGAATCCCTTATGTCTTTTCATAGGTGAGCCCAGGCCAGAATGGGGGACTCCAGGGACCTGTGCCCTCACCTTGACTCGATAGGCGAGGTGACCAAAGAGGACTTGCTGCTCAAATCTAAGGTAACAGGGGTGAGGCGCACACCAGGGCCATGTTCCTGGGGTACGAATGTTTCTAGGCAGGGGAAGAACTGGCTCCCCATCCATCTCGGCTTAGCCTCTTGTATAAATGGAAAAGCTGGCATCTGTTTGCGGGTCCCTTTTCCTGGGGCTGTGTCCTGATAGCCATTAATTATCATTCAGACCAGCCCATTTGGGAGCCACTAACACTGTCTGTCCATTAGCTGCTGGCACAGGTGCACAGAGCCTTCCTGAGACAGGGTATGAATCATGCTTTCAGAGTCCACGGACATTTACATTGTGACCTGAGGCGGGCTCAGGGCTGTCTGAGACAAGGACAAGGAAATGGGCCTCATCCAAGCAGGGAGGATGTGTCAATCTCATGGTCCACTTTTTTTGCTGAAATTTTTGAATCACTTAAAAATGAAACAATATAAGAAGATAAATGGCCAGAAGCCCCATTCCCACTGTACCATCCTTCCCACGCCACTCTCAGGTAACCACTTCTCTTGGCTTCTTTTGTATCTCTCCAGAATTTCCTTGGGCAAATATACTTAGATTTTAATTTTTCCCTTTCTTACATAAAAAGTAGTGTACTTTTATGCTCCATAACTTGCTTAATTCACATAACATATCTTGGGGCTCTTTCGACATAAGTATCTAGAGACTGTGTTCTTATTCTTTGTCTTTAAATTGCATCATATTTCATTGTATGGTCATAATAACTAATCCTGTTTGAATGGACACTTAGGCTTTTTGCAGCTTCTTGCCAGTACAAATGATGCTGCAATGCACAACCTCATAGAAACATCATTTTGTGCATATGTATAGTTATGTGTGGGGCAGAAGTGATGTGTTACCTGATGTTCTTTCCAGTTACCCTACTGCTGGCCGTTCAGCTTCATTGCACTAGTGGATTTTCAGTGACCTTTGACCTGAGCTGGTTTAGCCCTGGGGCTTGGTGAGGGACCCAGCTCTAAGTATCTGTAACTTCTTTTGAGGCAGTTTCACTTCTGTGTGGCCTGAAGGAGGGGGACAGTGAGGCTCCGGTGCATTTGCTCTGCCTGATGTGGGTTTCTTTCGGAGTTTACACAAAGGAAGAGTGAGACACACTGAGAGGATTTTCCCTTCACAGGAGGTGTGAATCAGGGGAATCTAAGAGCAGGGAGGAGATGAACAAGGTGGGAGGACGGAGGCAGCACACAGGAAGATGAGGGCAGAACAAGCAGCCTTCTGGAAGTTTCTTGGTACTTCTGGAGCAGAAAGATCTAGGACTATGGAAGTTGCCTCGGTCAGCATTTCAGAGAGCATGTCTTGAGCACCTCAGAAATACAAGGTTTACCAAATAAAATCAGTATTGTTTGAAAATGCCCAGCAGTGACATGGATAGGAACCGGGAGTTCATAATGGAGGAAGTGTAAATGGCCAAGAAACTTTTGAAAAAAAAATGGTCAACTTCATTAGTGGTCAAGGGCATTGCTAATAAAAGCAACATAACACCATTTTTTTGATGGCTAAAGCAGAGATTAAGGCATTTGACTACTACCCAGAAGGCTGGCAGTTCAAAAGCACCAGCCACTCCTTGGAAGGAAGATTGGGCAATCTGCTTCCATAGTGATACCGCCTTAGAAATCCAAGGAGGGGTCGCAATGAGTCAGATCCAACTCAGCGGCGGTGAGTTTGGTTTGGTTTTTGGAAAGCAGAGACTGATTATATTCAGAGGTAATGGTGATGGAGGGAAATGGGCCCCCCACACTTTAGTGGGCTGGTAGTAGGGCTGGGAATTACAGTACCTACACTTTAGGGAAGCAGTTCCCCTTCTGAGAGTTTATCCAGTAGAAGTGTAAATAATAGTTATAAAGGTCCAAATGCAACAATATTTATTGAACATTGTGTATTAAAGGAGAAAAATTGGTGGCAGCTTGAATATTCCTCAGGAAGGATGAATGGGTAGATAAATTATAATGTCCATACTGTAGGACACTGTGCAGTTACTGAAAAGAAGATGAGTCATCTAGTGTCTGTGTGTAGACTTGGAAGGGTGCCCATAAATAAGTGAATATTACAGAGGAGTATGGATAGTGTGTTCTTATTTTTATTAAAAATGACACACCCCTCAATCTCTACCCCTGCAGCATCAGGCCCTTCAATTACAGATTGTGGGATAAGCAACTTTACCTCAACCCTAATGAGGGCTCTGTGTTCAGGCTCTTTACAAGTGCAGCCAGAATCTGTATTTAGTGAGAATGAAAAGTTCCTGTGAAGCTCTATGAGCTGACATGGCCACTCTCAGGGGATTACTTAGACTTTCTGGGCTCCTCAGCTTCATCGTCTGGCCCTGCTGCTTACTAGATGGGCAGCCCTCCGCTGAGCCTCAGTTTCTCATCTGTGAAAAGAGGATGTTGCTGGTCCTGCTGCAGAGATTGTGCTGGGGCTTACATAAGCAACAAGTAAAGAACTTACCTTGGTGTAATACTTCCCCAGGTGTCAGCTCTTGCTCTAGTTGAGCTTGATACTGTAATTGTGATCAGAGACCACAGTGGTGTTTATCATGATGTAGCTTATTGGAACATCATGTTGCTTGTTTTAAACAACATCACGATAAATGGAGAAAAGATTGAAGTTGTCAAAGATTTCATTTTACTTGGATCTACAATCAGTAGCTCATGGAAGCAGTCGTCAGGATATTACATGATGTATCACATTGGGCAAATCTGCTGCAGAAGATCTCTCTAAAGTGTTAAAGAGCAAAGATGTCACCTTGAGGACTAAGCTGTGCCTGACCCAAGCCATGGTATTTTTAGTATTCATTGTCCATCATGAGAAAACTGGGCAATGAATAAGAAAGATCAAAGAAGAATTGAAGCTTTTGAATTATGGTGTTGGCAAAGAATATTGAATATAATAGGGACTGATGGAAGAATAAACAACTCTGTCTCAGAAAAAGGGCAGCCAGAATGCTCCTTAGAAGCAAGGATGATGAGACTTTGTCTCATGTACATTGGACATGTTATCAGGAGGGACCAGTCCCTGGAGAAGGACGTCATGCTTGATAAAGTAGAGGGTCATTGAAAAAGAGGAAGACCCTCAATGAGATAGATTGACAGTGGCTGTGACAATGGGCTCACACACAGCAGTGATTTTTAGGGTGATGCAGGACTGGGCAGTGTTTCATTCTCTTGTACTTAGGGTCACTATGAGCTGGACCACCTTGACAGCATCTGATGACATCATTAGAGACCAGTCACTGAGAATTCATCTTATAGCTGATGGCAGTACATTGGTTGTTGTAGGATCTCATTTAATTCCTGCTTTAGATGTGCACAAACAATTATTTAGGGCACAGTTTAAGTTGCTGTTATTAACCGATCCTAAAATACAGTGGCTTAAGCAAGATAGAAGTATATATTTTTTTCTTACAGAATAGTCCAGAAGTACGTAGGGCTGGGCAGTAACTGTGCCGTTCTCAACAGTTGGTTTTTATCTCTTAGTCCAAAGTGTCTGCTTCAGTTCCCATTGCTTCAGCTCGCACAGTCACATCTGCATTCTAGCTAGTGGAAAAGAGGGAAAAAGAGCAAGAGTAGTCAAAAGCAGACAAGTAGCATGTATTACTTCTATTCCCTTGTGGCTAGAACTGAGTCGGATGATCACAGTGAGCCGTAAAGGAGGCTGGGGGATGTAGTCTATAGTTGGTTAGTCATGGATGAACTAAAATTCATGCATTTTATTATTAAGGCAAGAAAGAGAGAAAGGAGCAGATTCTGTTACCCAGGGCGCCAGAAGCCTGGGTGATTTCTGAAGTCACCAGATACATTGACTTCCTAATTCACACCAGGAACTATACATATACTAAGTGGACAAAACAGAGCATGCCTCTCTCATGGAGCCCATAGTCTAGATGGGGAAAAAGGCTAAAATAAGTACAATGCAGGAAGAGTAAAGGGTGTGATGAGAGAGTATATTAAGGAGTCTGTTTATTTAAGTTTTAAATAATTGTATTGGAAAATGTTTGCACAGGGTAAAAAAAAGAAAAAATCAAGTGCAAAGCCTCTGTCCTGCCCCTGCCCCTGCCCCATGGGGAAGTTAATTTAGTTTGATAGGCTGGTGAAGGCCTTTCTGAGGGACCTTTAGGGTGTGTAAGCATTGGCCAGGTCAAACAGTTGTGTGGTTCCCTCCAGGCAGGAGCAGCACCCATGCTCAGAGTGTACCTCCCAGTCAGCTCACACATTGCTCTTTCTCTCCCATCTTCACCCATGCAGGGAACCTGTCAGTCCTGTGGTGTTACTGGACCGAACCTATGGGCTTGTCTCCAGGTAAAGTATCCTTGCAACAGTTAGGATACTCTGTGACTCTGGGCTGGGGACATCAGTCCCTGGTCACTCCTGAGGAAAACAACAGTGCAAGCATTGGTCAGTGCAGGTGCAGTTCCCAAGTCCAAGCCAAGAGGGCACTAGAGTCAATAAGTCCCTCAGCTGGCTTTCCTGACAGCCAATAAAAGTGACAAGAAAATAAAGCTAGTTAAAGAGGTAGTGAATGGTCCCATATTGGTTAAAAAGTCAAAACAAACGTCTCTTCTCACATATGTATGGGAGAGTTGATGGAAAACGTCTTAGGTTTGAACCCTGGCACTCCCTGTTCAAATGTCTCTTCTCACATATATATGGGAGAGTTGATGGAAAACGTCTTAGGTTTGAACCCTGGCACTCCCTGTTGCTAGCTGTCTGTCTTCTCTCTTTTGTGCCTTCATTTCCTTATCTGTCAAATAGGGCCCTGACGGTGATAATGGTCCTCACCTTGTGGGATTAGAGTAGAATTTGACAAGATGATGCCTATGAGGTGCTTAACATGGTGTTGCATGGCTCATAGAGGGTATCCAATAAAATCTGGTCGTGCTTTTGATGATTATGGCCTATGAAAAAGTATAAAAGTAGATGTAGTTTTCTTTGTGCAGTGAAATTATATATAATTCTCTTTTTTTCTCTGTGACTATAGTATTTTCCAAATTTTCTACAAGTATATATTATATTTTATATAAAAAAAAAAAAAAAACAACAAACTCACTGCCATTAAGTCGATTCTGACTCATAGTGACCCCTTTGGGTTTCTGAGGCAGTAAATCTTACGAAAGTAGATTGCCCAGTCTTCTTTCCACGAAGTCGCTGTTAGGTTTGAACCATCAACTTTCTGGTATGGTCATAGTAAAAATGATTATTACTTAAAATTTCTTGAAAGAAAAGCACAAGTAGGAAAGAAAAAGACAGCACTTGGGATGAAGACATCAGAGCCCAAGCCAGTCTTTGCAGAAGATACAGGGCTTCCCAGGGGATTCTGGCCTCTTCCCTTTGGGCAGTAGTAGAATGCGTATTATGTATGCAAGGCACCATTCTGAGCACTGAGGGGACACCAAGAAGTGTGAGGTGGTGTCCTACTTCCTGGGAGCCTCTGAGCCCCCTGCAGAGACAGATAGGAGGCTCATGCAGCAGCTGACATCCTTTATGAGTCTGTCACCAACCTGAGCAATGTGAGTCATAGTGGAAGTGACACCGTATGTTCCAGCAGAAAAGCAGACCTGGCTGTTGTTGGCTTCTGGTGAGGATGGAGGCATGTGGTGAGGAAGCATTTGAACTGGGCTTTGGAAGAGGGGTAGATTTGGGATAAGGGAGTATAAAGCCAAAGGTAGGGATATGTGGGTCCCACTGTGGGGCACTGAGTCAGTATCGGGCCCCAACCTTTTTCATACCTTGCTTTGAATACATTATAAAATGCCTGTGAGCCCTGTGGCTGCTACCAAAAGTGTGGGCCCTAGTACCTGGCCCATCAGAAAGTGGGGCATTGTCAGGGAGATAGTTAGGTGAAAATGGGCTGTGTGGAGGGGAAGAAGGCCTGGACCCCAGTCAGGCCTCAGCTTTGCCCAGATCCCAGCTCATTGCACTGAGCTGTTGCAAGAGAGCATCAGCCAGGGACAAACTGCCTGTGTCACTCAGAGATAGGGACAGTATAGGATGGTGTCCGTCCCTGCCCAGTGGGAACTGTGGGTAGAGATAGGGAATGTAGATTTCAGAAGATGTAGCACATGACCAAGAGGGAATGCTGACTTAGGGTGGAGTTAGAGACGCATTGCACTGATATGGTCCTCTTGGCCACCTCTGACCCACTCACCTTTCTTCTTCCCAGGTTGCCTGCCCCTATGTTGGCTGTGGAGAATCTTTTGCTGACCACAGCACCATCCATGCACAGGTAGGTGTGGTAGCTGAGAGCATGGGCCCTGCTGTCAGACAGTCCTGGGCTCAAACCTCAGCTCCAGCCATCTACTAGTTCCTTATACCTGCTTTGGGCCTCTATGGTCATGTCTGTAAAATGGGGATAATCGTAGCAGGGTTGTTGTAAAGAAGCAAGGGATATTCAAGTAAAAGCACTTGGCACATTGTATGTACTCCATAAATGGTAGTCACTGATCTTGTAAAAGTGGCTCGGTGGCAGTGTTGTGTGACCTTTTCATCTAACTTCATGAGAGGGGAGGAGAATCAGCATCAGCATCAACAGCCCAAGGCTGATTGCTGTGAGATAGAGGTCAGACATATCCCCACCATCCAATCTTTGTACCAACTCTGACACCAAACCATCCTCCAATGGCAATATCTGCTTCTCCACTGAGTTCGATAATTCCTTGCAATGGCCACACAGAACTTACAGACCATACTCATGATAATAGAATTTGTTAAGGAAGTAACAGCTTACAATTCAGAATCAGGAAAGTTTCGGGATACAGTTCCTTGGTCAGAATGGCTTCTCACTGTTGCTCACAGGTAGGCTTCTCCCTGGTCCTTGGCCTCATGACCCCTCAGGCCTCTTGGACCAGCCTGGTCTCTGCCATGCTCAGGCAAGTACTTAAAGCTCTTTAGCTCCACTGATAAGTGCCCGTGGGCACCCCACTCTGCCAGTAAGCCTTGGCCTGAAGGCACTCAGCTTTCTCACTCAGTGGACCAGGAAGCCTGCCACACCGTCTCCTGCCAGTCTCCTGGTTCTGCTGACTCTGCTGCTGCTGTTTCTCTCCTATTGCTTCTCACCATCTCCCATGTTATGGCTCTCTCTCTGTCTCTGTCTCCTGGGTATAGGAGGTTCCCAGTGCAGGGATCCCGGGTTCAACAGGCATGTTCCACTCCTAGCTCTTCTTTCTTTATAGTAGTGAAGTCCTTCCCTTTTGCCTCTGGGATGGCTCATTTTAAGCCTGATGGGATGGCAAAACAGACCCATCCCCTCGGTAGGGCTCCATGTGCCTTATTTACGTGGTCCCATCCCCACAAGGGTGCCATGCACGTTATTTGCATCATTAGCAAGCTATCCAATCCCCTAGGTAAGCCACAAGCAACATATTTGTATAGTCCCACCCAGTCATTTGGTGGGAGTTAAAAGACCATGGCAAGAAAGGCCATATAAAGGTGATCCATTGCACTGCAGACCACCCCCTGGCTTCCCTAGCCATGATTCTTTCATACTTGGAGGATAACTTTCCTTTCCCAATCATTTTACCAGTCCAAACAGTCACTAACAGTTAGTCCTTCAGTTACTCAGGTGCCAGCCATTCAGGTGTGCTGCAGGTGTCCATCTGATCTAGTCAGGTTTTCCAAAAGTCATCTTGGTGTCACCTTCTCTGGTATCTGATAAAATTTAACTAAGAGATTGTTGTCACCTTCCCTAAGCCTTATGAGGTATATCAGCTCAGCAAAAGCTTTAAGGGACTTTAGGTTTGGCCACTGTACTCCACTACAGCAGTGCCTCCTCCTTAGTCCACCCTTTCACACTTACAGATTCTACAATTACAGTTTTTACAATCACAATGAACCCTGTTAACAGTGGTACTCACAACTGAGTCAGATAATCCTGTCATCACCTTACCCTCTCTCCTTCCCCAGACCCATTTGGAAAAGAGGAAATGATTCAGTGGAGCTCTTCGCTTGTCTCCCTCATTTGCTTATAAGCACACCCATGAAAGTTTCCATCCATTTTAGATTGTTGTTGTTGTTGTTATGTGCCAGTTGGAGTCGGACCCGACTCATAGCAACCCCTCCTTGGGTTTCCAAGGCAGTATCACTACAGAAGTAGATTGCTCAACCTTCCTTCCGAGGAGTGGCTGGTGGGTTTGAACCGCCAGCCTTCTGGTTAGCAGTCAAGTGCCTTAGGCACTATGCTACCAGAGCTCCTCCATTT